TTTAATAAACAATCTGAGAATGTTTTATTGCATTACTGGCCTCAAAGTGATAAAATTATTATAATTTCATTTGCCACCAGTGACAGACCTGGTAAAAATTAAACATGTAATTTAAGAAGCTTCGTCTTATTCCTACTCCTTCCGGAACCTAATATGGAAACGTCTTTTTTATGATTATTATTGATATTTTTGGTTTTCTTTTTAATGATTTTATTTTTTGCTGTGGCGTTTTACCTGTTTGAAATAAATAAACGTCCAGTTTCATTGTTCCTGAGCTCCTGCAGCGGTCAGCTCACCTTCACGGCCATGATCATGTTGCTGGGTTTGTGCACCATCTTGTTGACGGAGCCGTACGCCCCCCGGCCGATTTCGCCCAGATCCTTCAGATCCTCGGCGGTGAAGTCCCAGTGCTGCTCCGGGGAAATCTTCAGCTTCCCTGAAGACTCGATGCTGTGAGTCCTCAGCCTCTCTCTGGTGAAACAAGTCACTGAGCATCCAACACGGCCGGGTTTAACACACCAAGGACGGCTCACTCACATGTGTGGGTTCTGGAACGGAGGTCCGGCCGTGTTTAAGGAGAATCTGGTGGAGGGTTTGATGGACGGGTTGGCGAAGTTCAGCTTCAGCGCTTTGCGTTTACCTGAGCGGCAGGAGAAAGTTTTACAAACGTAACAAACTCAAAGAGCAGCGCAAAACCAAAACCAGTCGTCCAAAAGGAAAAGTAGGAATGTTAAATATGCAAAAACCACAAAATGAGACAACAGAAGGATTAAAAGACGAGTACAGGAACATTTACTACAACATATGGATGATTTCCAGAGAGACGGGGCGTAGGAAGCAAAAGGCTACAGATCAGAAAAATCAGCTAAAGATGGAGCCGTTTAAAACATTTTAACATCGATAAAGACTAAACTGTTATGAGAATCAATACACTAAATATTTATTTAATTAAACTGGAAACTCTGAAAATAGTTTCTTGCTCCATTAGGATTCATTAAATATACATAAAATAATCATAAATCAGGAATATGAACTGGTCCAACTAGCTGAAAATGTTTTTCATTCTTGAAGTGTTCATTCATTCATTCGTTTGTTCATTCATTCAT